CGTTCCGTCGATGAAAACGATCGAGCTTGTTGCCTAGGTCTACGCGCGTATCTCTCCTCTTCTCCGCGATCTGTCTCGTGTACTTTCTCTGGCGTACTTTCGATTATATCGGTCTCCTCGCGTCTATGCTCTCCGCTAGGATGGAACGTGGAACTTGTTCCCTGTTTACAGTTTCTCTATCGCGATTATACATCATCTTTTGCCTCCGTCCGTATTTTCAGCGTTCATAAGAGATGGCGGCTACCGCTGTTTCCAAACGATATCGCATCGTTACGGCGCATCTTCGAGGAAGTGACTCAGTCTGCGAGCTTAAGCAGAAACGTTCATCGGTGAGGATAGTACATGTTGAGAGAAAGCACGAAAACGCTACATTCTATTTACCGCAAAATCGTTCCTTCGCCGTACTCGTTTCTGCTGCTGTGTCTCGTCGTTGATTACGTTTCTTAACATATTTAACGCCGTATTAAATTAACACAATGAAACCTTGTCAAACTTGTCACGTCGCTGGACTTAACCGCTTCGCTTCTACCGACTAACCAATTTCTTCAATTCTTGCGAGTAGAACCGTGTCGATACCAATTACGATTCTACGATCAAGGATCTCTGTTTTTTTAATCATCGATCCGAGTAAACCGCGCGTGAGAAACGTTGGATCGAGGGAGATTATTGAAACGGATTGATCACGGTATCCACGCCACACGTGCCGCTATCCCGTGCCAATTGTGTTTTACATCATTGTAGAAAGACGAATTGAACTTTTCTTTTCCTTTTCTTTTTCCTTTTCTTCCCTTCCCTTTCTCTCATTTGTTATTTGTTCAACAGTAACACGTGCACCGATCAAGACACGACCAGCATCGTGAAAGATGTCGGACAAGTCGACCGAGAAGGACCTTTGCATGTGAAATTTACTGTACTCGATGGCAAGGTAAACGATTCAACAATCATTCTCACAGATTTATCCTTTCGCAAAGAGGAGCTTATTCGCAAAATTTCACTTAAATCAAAGCACGACGGTATTCCGAAGAACAGTCGTAGATTGCTAAAAGGTGTAAAAATTAGCGGATCGTGTGTGATTTTAATTTGTATAATTTTAGCGATCATCCGATCGTTCGTGGAAGCAGGTGTGGGGCGTTCTTCGTGGACCGATACTCTTCTTTTATAAGGATCGTCAAAATCAGGTATAAGGATAATCATGATTTTCGATTTTCGACGAACACACTTTGTACTAACGATCCACTGTACATTATTTAGAGTCCTTCGTTAGCAAACGACGGTGAAAACGTAGCTCAGAGCGTGGATGTGAGATGTTCCGTCGTGGATATAGCTGAAGATTACACGAAACGCAAACACGTGCTACGATTAGCGAATCCGAACGCGGAGGTTCTGCTGCAGACCGAAGACGCGGCGTCGATGGCGCTTTGGTTACGAGCGTTACACGAACACGCTGCCGCTGAGAAACCATCGGTGAGTTCGAAATCGCGCGTTCGAAAACCGTGTTGTCGTTAACGTTACCATACGCGTTTCGTATTTTAGGAAGTCGCTTACAACAGCACTTTGAAGCAACAAGCCGTCCCGCAAACCCCCTGTCCTTCCAGCAATTCTTTGACGTGTCAGACAATCGGAAACGCCAATTCGATAACGGTACCGAGTAACGGTGGTAGCGGTGGTGGCGCGTTAACTAGCGGTGGACAAAGGTTGAGCCCTCTCCCAGGGCACAAAGGTATCAAGAAATTGACTTCCTTCCGAAACAGATCACCGACCGGTCAGTCGCCGATCAATAAAACTCGAAAACCGAGTCAAACGATCGAAAGTTTAGTTTCACCAAAGACGAAGACGTGGAAAGGCCGGGTCGCGAAACAGCTTCGAAGAATGCACGGTCAGTCGGGTCCACCTTCTTCGCCGACCGCGCAGTTACCACCCGAGGGTGCTACTTTCAGAGTACCGCTTGAATTATGCCCACCGGTGAGTGATCATTCCATATTTTCTCCACAACTTCCCTTTGCTCGCAACGATCTCGAGCGTTATTTTTCATTCATCGTCGATTTACCTCCGTACAGTCTTCGTTCTCGGAATACGTGCCGTTGATCGTCGAGATGTGCACGAGCATCGTCGAGGCAAGAGGTCTCGAGGTGATTGGTATTTACAGAGTACCCGGTAATACCGCTGCAATATCGCATTTGACGGACAGCGTGAACAAAGGATTCGAGAATATCAATCTTCAGGTAACGTTCATTCGTCGCGTTTGTCTATCTTCTTGTTTTCTTCCTCGTTAAACATGTTTCTTCGTATCGGTTTTATTAGGATCCCAGATGGAGCGACGTAAACGTGATATCGTCTCTCTTGAAGTCCTTCTTCCGTCAACTTCCTGATTCTTTGCTCACCGCAGAATTGTATCCTATGTTTATCGATGCCGATAAAGTGGAAGATCCGCAAAGAAGGATGACAACGATAAGAAAACTGCTGAGAGACCTTCCGGAGCATCACTTCGAGACTCTCAAATATTTGATGTTCCATCTGAAGAAGATAGTCGAGCATAGCGAGATTAATAAAATGGAAGCGAAGAACTTGGCTATTGTGTTTGGTCCTACGTTGGTACGAGCCAGTGGTTCCAGGGACAATATGGTCACTATGGTCACCGATATGTCGCATCAGTGTCGCATAGTCGAAAGTTTACTGAACAACGTATGTATTTTCTTAACGATACCCACGAAGAAAATGTACATACTCTCGTTATGCTATAGGTCGACTGGTTCTTCTCGGACGATGATTTAGACGATTTAAGCAGGCTGAGCGTTAATCTCAGTCTTCCTGCCGACACCAGTGAAATCGAGGCAACCTCTAGTAATAACCATAATCTGTTGTTAAACAACATTCAGAAAGTAGAAGGTACGATTTGTTAACCTTACAGTTACTTTCATCGTTCTATTATTTCTCACAATTTTCATTGGAATTTCAACGAAATAGGGGTACGAGAAATGGCGTCCGCCAAGGATATCGTATCGTCCATCATATCAGCCGCTAATCGTAAGATACAAAGAAGAAGGAAAGTCCAAGACGAGACGGACAACGAAAATCATGAAGTCGAAAAGGTTTGTACGAAAATTTTTTTACCGTTCTTTCGTTCAAATATTACTCTTGGTGTCTATTTCGTACAGTTGAGAACGAAGCAGGAAATAGAAAATTTACCAAATCGACAAAGCATGGCGTTGAACGAACGACATTGTTCTGTGAGCATGATGGTCATGATGCACGAGAATAATAATCAGTCGAATCGTTCGATCGATCGTTCTCCAACGATTGACACGGCTGCGATCGTAAATCGCGCGAACGAGACCAGCGGTGATGGAAGTGGTGGCGGTGAAACCACTGGTGGTGACGACCGTGGGGACGATGGCGTAGGTGGTGGCGATGGTGGAGGCGATGGAGACTGCGGTGGAAATGATGGAAACGGTGGCGACGGTGGTAATGGGATAACAAGGACGGATCGCGTCGGTAAGACGGACAACAATGCGGAGAACAGCAACGACGAGAGAAAATATTTAAATCCTTCGGTCGAATCGATCGAATCAACGATTCAACCCGTTCGTCGCTCGGCCGTCTCGTCGGCTTCCGAGTCGTCGTCCCGACTCTCTAGCGAGACTGGCCTGAGCTTCTTCGACGCGAATTCGACGCTTTCGAGCGCCTCGAACGACACTAAGCAGAGCAACGACGAGGTGGCTATAAGAACGTACGCCGGATTGAGCGCGACTACCCAAGAACGTATACGAAGATTCGAGCAAGAAACGAAGGCGATGCTGCAAAGGGATCAGAATCGACAGAGGCGGGAAGCTGAGAAAAGGGAGGAAGAACGGCGAAGAATAGAGATGGAATGGCAATTGGCGAAACGTGAAATGGAGAATGACGATCTACTGGATAGTATAGTCGATACTACCGTCACGCCAAATTACCATCGTCTTTCCGCAATCAACGACAGGCCCGCTGACAAATCTTTCCTCGACATGGCGTCTCGACCTGCCTCTCGTATTCCACCTCTCTCCATAGCTGTCCAACAACAACCCACAACAGGCAGAAGAGTCTCGCGATTCACGGACGAACCTGTCGCGATAATATCCTCGGACACGGTTGCCAATAACTTTGTCAAGAAAATGAAGACCGACGCAGAGGTAAGACAGCGGTAACGAACCAACGGGAAGTGAAATATTTCACTTCCTTTTTTTCTTTCATTCTTCTTTTTGCAACGTTTACAGCCGGTAACGGAACAGCCGACGACGTTATCACCCGTTCGTTACGGTAGCTTGGACTCGTTGCACGAAACGCACGACGTTTCCCGATCTTCCATTTCACCGAGCAGCCAACATCGAAAACCCGTTTCCAGCGATGTTTCGGACGATGGTTAGTATCAACGTTTCGACGTTTTTCGAATAACGCGTACGTATAGCTCGATAATCGATATTTGTCAAGGAAAGAAAAAGCGAAAGAAAAAATTGAGAGCGGAGAAATTGAAAGTTGCGATTTTCTTCGAGCTTGCGAAATAAGATTATTACCAAGCACGCGCGACTTTATTCTACGTTTATTTTTTCTCTCTCTGTACATATACATATATATTATATATATATATATATATACATATATTTATACTGTTTATATTTCTCTCTTTATAACGTCGCTTCTGACGATCGGTGAGTGTAGCCGGATCTTGTTTTCTACAGTGGACTCAGAAGATTCTGACCATTAACAAAAAGCTTTCTAGGTACTCTTCGTTCGTTCTTTGTTATTTTCGGAACGATCTATTTTATTTGAAACCATTGTCGGATGTACGATAGATGCGTATGATTATATATTTCGTTCGATTTCTAGTTCGATTAACGTACACTTTACTTTACTTTGTTCTTTGATTTCTTTCTTCCTGTTTCTTTCGTTTGCTTTATCGTTTTCGCTGTATTATCGGGCAATAAGTTGCTAATAAGAAAGTTTCAGTATAGAACGCTGAGCACACTGCATACGATCTAGATCAAAGCACATTGTTATCAGTTTATTTATCGTATTTTTGTAGCCTCGCGTATATTTGTACAAAGATAGAAAGGATCGATCGCGATGTTTGCGATGAAAAATAATTTGTAACGACGATTATTCGCAGCTTTCTTATCGATATATATGTTTTTCAATTGTTTAGATGTTTATCTAATGTAATAACTGGTCGCATACTGGCGCATACCCGACGGAATTCTTAACGCAGGAAGCTAAAAACCGATTGCACTCGATTTGCATGCGCTCTCTGGACGATGATGCGAAAACGTATACTGTGTACGATATAGTTGGATTCTTCGTCGCGTCGGTATACAAGTATACATAGTATATTGTACAAATGGATTAGGCGGCCAGCTTGACTGCATGCGTGCTTGACTGCTCGCTTCTGGTCTTGTCGCTCTTGTCGTAAAAGCCGTCTTGCCTCCTGCTCGTTCCTCAAGCGATAAATCTCATGTGAAAGGTGAAAGTTCAGCAGGATGTAACCTGTATGATAGTCGTTTGTTAACTATTCGTTCGTTAGACGAAGAGGGACGAAGGGAGGCAAGGGACACGCTTTTATCGGTTTATCGATTCTCACTGGTTCGTTATCGTCGCCTGTAGAAAATTGATTAGTACGCGTTTACTTTCTCTGTCTGTCTGTCTGTCTGTCTGTCTACCTCTACCTGTTTGTTTCGACGGGGTGTCGATTATGACGATTGCGAATGCGTTGAACACTTAGGCAAACGGCAAATCCCAGTTTCTGGTGGTATATATCGTCTCACCTACACGGTACCGCAAGCCCCACTGGCCCTCCCTCGAAGACACCGCCGGGTCCGTCGCCGATGCCGATGCCAATACCAATGTCAATGCCAATATCAATGCCGATGCCAATACCAATGCCAATGCCAATGTCAATGCCAATGCCAATGTCCGTGGCAATGTCGATGCCAGGACGAATACAAGTGCCAGGGTCAGTATCAGACGCAGACGCAGCCGACAACGATGTCGCGCGACCTTCGTCGACACCCATCGCACCCTGTTCGAGAGTGCCGGCCTCGGAGCCCTCCGAACTCTTCCGACTGTCCGAGCCCTACGAGCCTAACGAGGCCGGCGTGCGATCACCGCGAGGCACGTCGGGCTCAGGGGCCGGATTCTCTTCCAAGACTTTAAACAAATTCCTTCGAGGTAAATCAGTTGGCCTGCCGATTCGAAATATCAAGTCGCAAAACTGCTCGACTAAGACTGGCTCGCACGAATGGCTTTTATTATTTTCACTTTTTATTTCCATTTGCGTTTACGCACGCAACCCACCGCCCGCGCACGTTCAGACGATATTTTAATCGTCCTTCTGTCGCTTTATCCCTCTTTACCACACACTTGATACCATTAAATCGTTCTTCGACGATCGGCTCTTTGTCGTACGCTTATCCCTCATAGAGTATCTTCTCTGTTCGAGATACGTCGCTTAACGCGTCTCGTGCTTGCCAGCTTTTTCTGTCGCCTCGTTAAGGTTCCTACTCCTCGTTACTTTTCATTCAGGTTTATTTATATGTAAAATAAACGCGGACCATTGAACGCGCGTTGTGTCGCCGATCGAGAACGAGATCGAGATCGCGGTTGAATGGCGAGTAACGAGAGGAAGAGAAAGAACAAATACGAACGGTAGGATGTTAAGCGTGTGTTAAGTGCTGTGTGTTATGGCCTTAAAATGTGAACTTACGAGCAAGCGTTATCGGTTTAACGAACATACCCGTGTAAAAATCGTTGTCGCGCGTCATTGAAAATTGTAACGCGTGTTTGCCGCCGAGCGAGCGACTTACAGAGTTTTCTTTTTCCTCGAAAAAACAATCGTCTACCATACATATGTGATGTTTACGATGCTTTGTACGCCTCTGGTTGAATCGTTCGTTCGCTTTCAATTTTATTCACTAACAACCAGACGGACAGGCCGATGCGTATGGATTAAAAGGATCTTGTTGTATTACAGGTAGCGATCTTTTGACCAGTTTGACGACCACTTTCGACCGCAAATGGAGATCTTTGCTGAATTCATCGAGCCAGACGGAGCGTGGCTCTGCTTCAGAGAGTGTATCTTTTAGCGACGATGATAACACGGTGTCCCGAAACCTGCGAATCGTCGCAGGTGAATCGCCGAAAGAATCGGACGAACGGAAAACAACAACGGCAGGTGTTCAATCTAGTTCGATCGAAACTTATCGGGATCCGAGCCTTCATAAATCATCCGTCGACAAGTATCAACCGATTCGTCAAAAAAATGCAAGTATTTCCTCCCGATTGTTTCTCTGTACTTTCATGGATTTTTCTCTATCAAAGAAGTATGTTCATTTCGCTCGTAGGACGCTCCGGAAAAGGATACAGATTCGTCGGTAGCAGCTGAGAACAGCAGGAACGTCGATCAATCGGAGGAGAACGTGCCGGACAACGATCGTAGCGCTGTGGTTCGAAGGAAAATTGATACGAGCAAAGAAACGATCGAGCCGGATTCGATAACGAACGAGACGCAAGAATGCTGCAGGATCGAAAGGGAAGCGACACCTGTGTCGACGCAGACCGATAAACCTGGCGAACTTGCGAAAGATTTTCGCCACGATCTCCTCGAATCCAATTACTCGAACAAACTGGAGAAATTCGAGAGTATGACGAACTTCGAGGTACGATCCCGATTGAAAAGATCGGAATCCTTGAACAAAAGGTCCGAGAACGCTTGCTCCAAATTGAAGAGGTCCGAGAGTTTGAATAAGCACTCCGTCGAGAGATTGTGCTCGCCTACCAACGGTAAACTGAAACGATCCGAAAGTTTGAACAAACACTCGGAAAGATCGGATTCTCCGAACAGTAAGCTGAAGCGGTCAGAGTCGCTGACGAAAACGGAAAAGACCGAGTGTAACATCAGCAAGAGACGGCAATCGGTTAGGAAGGATAGCGCGACGAAATTGAAGCGGAAGAACGGTATGCCTGAACGGTCGATCAAACGCAGGCACACCGTAGGCGGTACCAAGGACTTTGATAAGGTTCATTGGTTAGACAATAAGCTTCAAGTGGAAGCCGAGAGGGTAGTTAAAAACGAGTACAGACCGAAGAAGAGTCAACTGAGAACGAGTTCGCCTGATCTGAGCACCGCTCGTATCGGTCTCACCGATGCCAGTTTTCTCATTGAAGTTAGCTTTCGTGGACCGAGCAACGTCGTCTTCAACGTAACTAACGCTCGACCGCAGTCTTTACCGGATACCAGTTTGCCTTCCAAAGTGTATAAAGTACCGCTCGAAAGTCACGTATAACGTGCGTCCATGTTGAACGGTAACAAGGATATTATATGAAAGTACATAAACGAAAGGATCGTTCCTTGCCTCGTTTTTCGAGCCTCGAGAACGCCCTACAAATGCCTCTTTTCCTTCCATTAAGCATTTTCTATCGCAGCGATTTTACTCGATTGTCAATTATTTGCATTACGTATACTACTTGCGAATCGTAATCGTAATCGTGTGCAATTTTTTGTATATAACAGGTTCATAGGTTGTTCAACATTCGCGATTGAGATATCGTTAGCCTTGAACGCGCGTCTAACGCGCAGAGTACTTTGTACTTTTTAATAATTGATTACATAGGACAAACGTTCGCGTAGTTTTGCATTCGGTCGGACGCAGTGGCTGTGCGATTCGCGTCGGTCTTTTCGATCGACGACGTTTTACATTTAACGTTCAACGTTTAACGTTCAGCGTTCAATGTTTTAACGTGTTTATTGTTCGTATATGTTAGGGCACATACATTTGATAGAATAGCAACGCAAGGGTTCGAGCAACGCGTTGCTGCTTCTCGTTCTGGGAACTATGCCCGTTCCGTTTTTCTTTATTCATTTTTCGATCATATCGATTGTGTTTATACTTTATACGCTTTACACGACCGATATTCGCTTTATAGTTGAATAATCGCGTGGTTAAACGCGTTTACGCATGTAACGTGTCGTCGCGCATCGCTGATGATCGAGGTAACCGTCGAATCGTACAAAAGCAAGGCGTTTCGTCGTCAGCCTGACAATCGATTTTCTTACATTTGTAAATAAGGAATTATGCACGTAAAGGAATGAAATTATAGGCCGACGGTAGAACAGTATTTATTTTAAATCCATAACAATCGTGATATACTGTTATTTATTAAATGTATCGAGATTCCGCTATCAAGGAATTCTCTATCTTTCTCTATTACCCTTATTGTACGGAGACTACGCTACAGTTTGTAAATAAATCTTATATATTGCTAATTTAAAAGAACTGTCAAAAGCCGCAGTTTTAATTCTCTGTAATTAACAAGACTGAAAAATTATTGAAATGATTGTTTAATAAATTTCAAATTTTCCGAGCGCAGCACCATCTATACAAGAGTGGCTCAAACTACTCAACGACTTACCGACTATCGGGGTCGATAAGGAAGAAAATGTTCATAAAGAAGAAATTATCGACGCCAAACTTCAATTCAAAAAAATAATCATAATTAATTCAACAAAAGCATTAAAACTTTAATATGGAAATAGACTCCATAAACGGGGGAACACTGGCGCTACCTATCGGGAAGTTCCGAAAACTATTCGCCTAGTAGTTTCCGCGACTTCCCGATAGATGGCGATAGTGTTCATTCGTTAAGCCCGGTAACATCCGCGTGAATAACTTTGCTTTAAGTTTTATTTCTGAACGTGTTAGGTTTTACGTTTAAATAGATTGCTTTTATCGAAGAAATTTGATTAAATCGAAACCATGAACGTGATGCAAACTGAACTTCAACCAGCCAGGGGACAAAACGAAACGAGGTTACGAAGAGAACTGGACCTACCACCTCGTTTACCAAGACATCGTACGAAAAGGATTACGGTAGAATTAAATTTTGCATGTATTTACTAATTCGCATTTTGTTTTTTGACAGATTTGGAATTTAATTTGGGAAACAAGCGACGAGCGAATCGTAAATTGGCAACTCCGAACTGTTCGACAAGTTCAAACTATCGAAGTGCAGGTCGTGGACGAGGCACATTATCCTCTACTCTCTTAACCACTACGACGTCACGCAATTATATTTCTAGGTAAAAATCGCTTTCATTATTAAAACAATAGGCAAACGTATTGTTTACATGTTATTTGTAGGTCTGGAACGAAAACCAACACGGGTCCCGGTTCGAGCGCGATCGAATCCGCTAGCGGCATCGTTCTCGGTGAGTATAGTATACAATTGAAATGTTATAAAAAATTTTTTTTCCAATTAATATAAAAATAAATCCTTCCTGGAATAAAAATTTTTAATCGTAAAATTTTATTCAAATAAATTTATAAAATAGTGTATATGTATACTATCTACACATTTCGAAAAATGATCAATCATATGCTGATCAATTATCGAACGTACGATCTAACAGCGATCACCACCGGCCGTGGAGACGCAAGGTCCGAAGTAGGAATAGCCGCGTTGAATCTTCGATGTCCACATTTGATCCTTTGTCAGATCAGTGATTCTCAAACGTACACGAATGCCTTGCGCAAACTGTACCTATTCGACCCGATGGAGGTAAGTATGTTTTTTCTCTACAGCTACGTCTTTTAACGCTTATCCATAATTCTCATTATTCTTATCACATGTAGATTTTAATGCCAGACACAATGTGCGAACGTGCCGCTGGTAAGGGTATCCTATATCAGTCCATAGTGGACAAGTTTCCTGAGTTAGAGGTAATGCCAATATCTCGTGTGCATTTCAATGACACCATCGGACTGGAACGAGTCAAGACCCTCTGCATCGCCGAATACTCGTCGGTGGAATTGTATGTTAAACAAAAGTAAGCTCGACAGTTATCACGATTTTTAACCGACTTCGATAAAGCAGGAGGATACTCAATTCGATCAGTATATTTTTCTTTTTTTTTATCATGATTTTAAGTTATATGTAATATGAAAGATACTTTATCGATTGTTTTTGCAGATATTACGCGTTAGCTGCAGCCGCGGCTCTATTGAAATACGTAGAATACACGCGACGTTTCGTTTACGTGCCAAGATCAATGAAAATCGAATTCCAAGGATCGCCGAACGCCACCATCATAGGTAAACCCATCGCGTAATGGACCAAGAGTCTAATGTTAGATACATTCATAAAAGAGAAACGTAAACGTATGTATATTGCAGATTTGGAGAGCGCGCGAAGTTTAGAATTAGTTCAATCTCAGTGCGGCCAACGAAACGTCAGCCTGCTCGGTGTTTTGGATCGTTGTTCGACACCGATGGGCAGGAAGCTGTTACGGGCCAATATTTTACAGCCTCCTTGCGAAGAACATATCATTATAGAGCGACAGTCGGCTGTCGCTGAAATGGCATCCAATCGTTCGTTAAGGGCTCTCGTTCAGGTGGAAATTTTGCTTAGAAGTGATGTCTGAGAAACTGAAGATATAACTCGACGAATATATTTTATTACAGCCCATCCTACGACGACTTTACGGTGCGGATAGACTTCTAGCTCTGACAGCAACACCAGTTTTACAAGAGAATAGCGTGCAGTGCGCTGAACAGAATTTAAACTATGTTCTGTTGTTAAAAAATTTGCTGGATGTTGTGCCAGAACTTGGAGGAATACTGTCGGCCGGTGAATGTGATTTACTTTGTAGGATTCGAAGGGTTCGCACAAACTTCTCGTCGTTCTATATGTACAACACATTTATTTCCTTTCATATACGCTACAATGATTTTTCTGATTTAGAAATTGGAAAATTGTGAATTTCGATCGATAAGAGAAAGAATTCTCGAAACGATACATCCAGACGCGAGGTCGGTCGGAGGCTATACATCCTCGAACATGCAGCGTTGCTTTGCCATCAAAGCAGGAATCAATGATCTGTTGGACATCGCTCGACAAACATACTGCGAGTTAATCGACGACATGAAAAGTTTGGAACATTGCTTTTTTCCATCTCTTGCTTCCTTCCAATCTTTCGTCCTATCATTCTGTTTCTGTGCTTTTTAATTAATTTTCATTTCTCCGTTCCTAACAGCCATGGTGGAAAATTTATCATCGAAGTACAATTTAATCTTGTCTTTGAATTGCAATGCGTCACTGGGATATCACGTGCAAGCAATACTGCCTCGAAACATAAACACCGATTCCTTTGAGCTACCCCTCGAATTCATCGAAGTAAGACCACCTACAAATATTCCTTTATCCAAGCATCGAACGATCACCTAATCCTTTCACAATTTTTTATGCAGGTACGGAAGAATAGACGAGTGTATACGATGACCACCAGCGCGCTTGCAACCTTAAGTCAACAGTGTAAAATTGCATGCGAGGAATTGCATTTAATGAGCAACGTGTAGGTATCAAATTCACCATCTATACGTTTAATCCTATCGCTTCGTTTCCTCATTTCATTTAATTTAATCGAGAGTTAAATATGCAAATACAGACTCCTATGCGACTTGTTGCGAAGTATTCGAGGACATATCGGTTGTTTATTTCAATTAAGCGTCGACGTGGCAGAACTGGACCTAGTTGCTTCTCTTGCCCAAGTCAGTACTCTTCAGATGTATGCGAGACCAACGTTTGGACCAAAGTTAGAACTACTCGACTCGAGACATCCAGTGATGGAAGTTTTTGGCCTCGATGGCCCTGTACCTAATGATGTCGTAAATGTCCTCTCTTTTTCTTTCTTTCTCCTAGCAATATGGTTGTTTGATCACCGTTTTATTTTTATTTTAGAACGCTTCGACAGCTTACAACTTTTCTGTGATCTCCGGGCCGAATATGAGCGGCAAATCGACCTATCTTAAACAAATTGTTTTATTACATATAATGGCGCAAATTGGCTGTTTTGTACCAGCGAAAAAGGCAATGTTTCGTATAACGAATTTCATCTTCTGTAAAATAGCTGTCCGTGACGACATCGAATGTAACGCTTCTACGTTCACCCTCGAAGTAAGTTTTCCTAAGTTACGCATCGTCTACGTTCTACGGGTGTACATAATATCTTTTATTCCTTAGATGAAAGAAGCTCAATACATTTTACGATCCGTTACACCATCGTCGTTGATCGTTTTAGACGAATTGTGCAAAGGTACTGCGATCGAAGAAGGAGCTTCGATCGCGTGGGCTATATGCGAACAACTTTTAAGTACCACCGCGTTTGTTTTTGCTGCAACTCACTTTTTCTACTTGACAAAATTAGAGGATTTGTATTGCAACGTGACAAAGTACAATCTTTTTCGTTTCTATTTCAACAATCGTTCCTGTTATTATTAATATCATTTTTCTTTTCCAGTTACCACTTTGTAACGACAGATGCACGAGAAGCAGGGGAAGAAACTTGGCGATTGATCTATACTCATCGACTGAAACTTGGAGTGGTGCCTAGCGACGATTACGGTATTGTTTTAGCCGAATTATCCGGCTTGCCGAAGGCTGTCACGGAAAAGGCACGGAGATTTGCTTCCGACAGATTGGTACCTTCTATATTTTTTAGTTTATATTGAAGAACAATTGATACATTCTACATTTTACATAGAAACTGCATTATAAACCATGCGATGCTCTGTACAGACAGCCGATCGTGTTGCAACCAAGACGGATTCCAGGGAAAAATTGTGTTACAAGATCGTGGTTGAATTGTACGAACTCCTGGAAACGGACAGGTTTAATCAGGAACGAGTTATTACGTTGATCAACCGTATTCTAAAAATACAGAAGCAACAACCTCGCAGCAATAGGATGGAGGAGGAAAGAAATATTGAAAAGATAAAAGGTAGTGCGTGGGAGGAAAAAAGAATCGAAGACAAATTCTCAAGAAAGTCTGTACCCGAAACAGTTTATTCGAATCGAAGCTCCAATTTAATCAGACGACAAACGCAAGGTACGGTAAGCCAAGGGAATGCTAATTTTAAAGTGGTTTCTCTTTTGTCGTCCAACGTCTCTCGTGTCACGTATGACACTCATGCTTCTACTGCTCCTTTGCAAAGCGAAAATCTCAATTTCACGAAAAGTTCGAACGATCTGTTACGTGAAAAACCTTATGCATCAATCGATCGTTTGTTTCAATCGATGGACTCATCCTCCTTTTATTCGGCCATCAGCAAAAACAATGTTTCTTTAAACGAGCTTGACAAATACACATCCGTATCAAATAAAATTACATCTGAAACTACTGATAGCAAGTTGCGAAGCGTTGCTAATTCCATGTGCTCTACAATCGGTGAAACTGATTTATCGCTTCCGCTTACACACGAATCATCGTCAATGCGAGCACCTATGTCGGTAGGTAGATCAGTATCAGAACTATACGAATACTGTCTTTCAAACAGTGATTTTGAACCGTTCAGTATATCTCGTACAACTTCCATTTGTACCGATACACTCATTCCAACAAACGAACATGAGTGATCTTTTCGCGGGTTCGTTTTTAAAATTGGTTCATTTATATTTTTTTTTTCTGTTTTTTTTTCTCTATTCTTGTTCATCTTCTTTCTATTATAATCACTTAGACATTTATAATGTGACAGCGCTAATTATTTAACAATAAACAAATTATCCATCTGTGGCTAGTAGAAGATTATTAGAACTTTTGGTTGTCCCTGTTTTATCACATCTCGCAATCAAAAATACATCAAACAGAAGGCAAAGTTGAAGAGAAGACCGCAGTTATGATTTCTGACATCATTTCCACATTGTCTTCAGAAATGCGTAAGTTAAAAATTTATACGAAGTAAAATAACATATTTCTCATTTATTCTGCTTTTTTGATGATAATTTATTAAATGCCATTAACATCCTATGTATTTTTCTATCTTCTTTTCTGTATTTCAGTGCTTTAAATTGAAAAAAGTAATCTTGACTTTATTACAATATGGGGTCAATAGTTTTCAGTTAACCTTTTCCTTATTTTAGTATAAAAGTTTCGAAGCAATTTGAAGCTTCTACCAAGGGCTGTGATTGGTCGTCCGTTATGGCGTCTTCTCATTTAGACCAATCAGATTCATCGTTACAGGGTTAGGTGCGCGGAGCGTGGTGGAGTGCATCAGTCCTCTTCGAAGCTTCGTCCGTTTGGCACGTGTCTGCAACAGGTAAGATTAAATTATCTTCAAATATTAAATTAAGTTGTCTTTCGGGTGTCGAAAATACAAAAAAGAGAAAGAATAGCCGAAGAGAAGTCTAGCTCTTTGTTTTTTGACATTAATTCGAGGTTATCTTTAAAAATATGTGAGCTGAAATTGTTTGCTCTTGCCGTGAATTGACAATGAAATTGGAAGAACAGAATCTGAATTATTTTCCCTTTATATCAATAATTTTTCGAATATTATTACATTTTTTCATGTTTTTAGTACATTTTTCCCGTAATTTATTGTTATATATCGTGATAATTGATTTTCTCGTTTTTTACTATTACGCCGATATAGATACGAATTAAAATAACATTTCCTTCATTTATTCTGTTTTTATATCAATAATTTCTTAAATCCCGTCAATATCTTTATATTTTTTCTACTTTGTTTCTTATATTTTGATGTTTAAAGTTGAGAAAAGTAATCTTGATTTTATTTCAATATGGCGTCGATAATTTTTGACGAACCTTTCCCTTACGATTAGTATTAAAGTTTCGAAGCACTTTGAAACTTCTATCGATGGCTGTGATTGGCCGTCCCATGTTGGCGTCCTCTCATTTCGACCAATCAGACACGTCGTTGTGTGAGCCAGTGCGTCGATTTTTGACGCAGTACAGCATTCCTCTTCGAAGCTTCGTTCGTCTTGCACGTGTCTGCAACAGGTAAGATTAAATTATCTTCAAATATTAAATTAAGTTGTCTTTCGGGTGTTGAAAATACAAAAACGAGAAAGAATAGCCGAAGAGAAGTCTAGCTCTCTATTTTTTGACATGAATTCGAGGTTATCTTTAAAAATACGTGAGTTGACATTTGTTGCTCTTGCTGTGAATTCACAATGGAATTGAAACAGCAGAATCTGAATTATTTTCCTTTTATATCAGTAATTTCTTGAACATTATTGAATGTTTTTTGTATTGTTTCACACAATTTGCTGTTTTTAGTTTAATAACGTTCTTTCTTGAGCATCGTAATATTATTTCTGTTTAGACCTGTTCGTGTACTTCGTTAGGTATCGGCCGTTAGCAGAATATACCGAACATTGCCGAGTGTTGCCGAAGTGCCGACCGCTCTTCGTCGGGAAGGAAGGTCTCGCCATTGCTCTCTCGAGCGTCGAACTGACAGGACGTGTTGAGAGCATCCTTCCGCATAAATAATAGGTACACATTGTATCCATTAAAATATTTTGTATCAATTATAGTTCGATCGTTTATTAATAATAACTTTATTATTGTTGATTAAATTTTATTTACATAAATTCGTATTTCTTTTTTATTACAGATATTTGATAGATTTTGAAAGGACGCCATGGCACCTGATATGGGTTTGCAATATAATTTCATAAGAATTTACTGTTTTAATTTATTCTAATCAATTATTAACGTTTATTATTACTTTTTTTTCATTGAGTCGTTGTTTTTTGATAGTTAATTGGTACCAAGGTACCAAGGAAGAAAAGATTAGAGATATTTTTGTTCTTTAATCAATTCATAGAAAAAGAATAATTAATTTTTCATTTTATTAAATAGTCTTGTCTAGTATTTTAATACATTTGTTTTAAATTAGAACAAAATTGAAATAATTCGTATTTTACTGCAAATGATTGCTTCTCTTTTGCAATTATAAATTATTTTAAACAATCTATTTTTGTTAAATCGTAGTAATTATATTATAATATCCAGCTTTCGATGCAAGTTGAAATAGAATCACGTTTTTAAATTACATGCTGTTTAAATATGATTATTGATAGGACTTTGTTTATTGAAAAGAATTAGATAATTTATAAATCATTCCGTAATAGAATTTTCAACAAATTGTAGTATGCTTACAATCTTAACAACACAAATCCTCTGCTTCAATACAATAGTCTATTATTTTTGTTACAAAATGATTTTCTATCGATGTAATATTCATTGAAATAATTATCAACAATTATTTAAAACATTTCATTTCAACCTAGGATCAATATTCAGCTTTAACAATATTTGTGCTCGTCGAATATATTTCACGAACATAGATATTTTCATTTACAAGCCATTAATAACAGTATTTACGTTACGAATGCTCAATAAGAAGAATGTTGTTTTGTATATTTCCACCCAGCCCATCCCTGCTCACTAAGTTTTTCTTTCAGGAATTGTTGTGGCCGCGCGCAATGCGGTCGGTAGAGTCAGTGTTTGTACGAAGATATTTCCAATGTTTTGATTTTTTCAAGGGTGAACTGGCCCTGAATAGTGTTGCGTTTGTATAGTTAGGAATCACGCGAAAGTAGAGTCAGTGTTTGCTGCGTGTTATAAAATATTTTCTAGAGCATCGCGGCTCTGATTTTTCTTTTTCCATCGTGAAAGTAGAGTCTTTATAATTGTTCGCCGGAAATTATTCACGGTCGCGTTACTATTTTTATTTATAATTTTTTTTTTAATTACTCGATATATCCGGGATTAGAGTCAAAGCACCACTGAAGAGGAGTCTTGGGCGTTGCTCCGTAAGGAAAGAGTGTAAGTATCTTATTACTTTGTTTAATTAATTTTAATTGAAATAGAATAATTTACAATTTCAATACTTGATAATTGAGAGTTCTTCTTAATTGCTATTGCTAATATTTTATAAAATTCAATTTCATATATAATTTTATTAGAATAAAAATTGATAATTTGCAAAATTAACCGTAATTCTTTTTTGTTTTGCTACAGATGAATTTTTTGATTGCCGAGTTCCTGGATATCCTGATGATGGCTTTCTTCACGACTTCCGTCTTGGTACGTCACTTAATTGCTTTTTATTAAAATAGAATAATTTACAATTTCAACCCTTGATAATTGATATTTCTTTTTAATTGCTAATATTTTATAAAATTCAATTTCATATATAATTTTATTAGAACAAAAATTTATAATTTTCAAAATTAACCGTAATTCTTCTTTTTTTGTTACAGATGAATTTCTTCACGACTTCAGTATTCTCCTAGTGTTGTCCATCCTCCTACTTGACTGTCGGAAGAAGAGTATATCTGCGAACGGTGAGTCGCATGTTTTATGGTTCCTCTGGTGCCCAATCATGTCGTAGGACGAATGGTCCGAATCGACACGGGCTACTAGTTGTATACGTGCTTGGCAAGCATAGTGACCATGGGTATGATTATACATACCCATGAGTAGTAACATTTTTATTGTTTCATTTCATTTAGTTAGGCTAGGTCTTCTTGTACTCCGCGTTTTAATATCATTTCAATTCCACATATTCTAATAGATATTTTTGAAATATATGAATGCTCTTAAATATTCTTAACTGTGGAATTAGAATATTTTAATACCGAAACAATTTTATTTAGTTTGTCTGTAATAGAGAAGTCAAATACTATCTGACTTAATTATTGCGATGGTTCAAAGCAATATAATATTAATAGCATTATATAATCTGTATACTGGATATACATATTAATGATGGTGTTACATTGATTTAGTTACATTTTGTACACTATAAATTCAAATATGATTTGAGAATTTTTTAAAATTTCATTTATTCAATAACGAAGTTTAACTTACTTACACGTTCATGAAAAAATGAACAATTTATGTGCAAGAAGACAATTCGTGACGGGTAGATTTCCAACTCAGAGTGATCTATTTCAACACATTTTGCGTATTCTTGAAAATTTACTCTGAGGAGGGAGTCGCCCGAGGATGTTTTATTAATTTTCACAACAAATTCTTGTTTCATTGCAAAGAATTCTTAATTAAAGACATTAAATTCTTTTTTATTAAAATTTTGCATTTTTAAATTAGTGTTGCGAAAAATTTCCAGCGCGAGAGTAAATATGACGATGCACTGACTAGTATTCGGTGGGAATCCTTTTGGTTTTTAAACTCAATCCTTTTTATTATTTAATTAATCAAATTAGTTACAAGGATTCCGCGGCATAAGACCGTGAACACCATCTCTGGGAGATATACCCATGCATTACTAGGCCTTTGCAGGCGCAGTTTTAGAATACGGAACATATGAAAATATGTTACCATATTCTAAACTGTAGTCCTTTTGTCTATACTATGGGCGTCCGTCAATCTGACACCGTTGGATGCAACGTGTTGGACGGGCGGGTAGCGCTCTTAGCGAAGGGGTGCACTCTGTCCTGGCGTTACGACGTCCAGGCGGGGTGGGTGGTATGTAGCGTCTGGCGCAAGTCTAGGGGGCGTGAGACCCTTCGTTGCCAGCTGATATTAGCAGTGCACCATGTTTGCGTCATAGTTGCTCTATTTTGCTTTTCAGTATTTGTTCTTAAAGCTTTATATTTACAAAGTCGAGTCACTTTTATTAAATTAAAATAGTCAAATATTAGCCCGTTAGATGTTTATGTACTAATCATGTTTGTAGATCAGGATTTTCAGATTTAACCCCTTCCGTGTTTATTGCCGAAGCCCATTCACGTGCCCAGGTGCTACTTGGATGGGTAGAGGCAATGGGCACGATGACCTAGTTCATAAGAATAATAATTAATAAGCGGCTGGCATTGTGTTAGTATATCGTGCACGACGTAATCCCCACATATGGTGTGTGTGTTTTTAGGCTGTGGGATTGCGTCGGTTTAATAACTTTTTCATTTACTTTTAATTTGAAATAATATTTTATTCAACAAGATGTACGATGAACGTATAAACCAAATACTATTGTTATCATTACTATTACCATTACCATTACTATGAAATATTCTATATTAAAGTAGCTAATTAAATTTTGTAATTATCATTATACGCAATGATTGCTAGCCTTGTCAGACGATTTCAGTGAAAAATGGTACGTACCGTAGAGTGTGATGTGAGATGAAACTCGGGTGACGGAGGCGTCCCGGGACGTTCTCCCTAGTTTAGGCTCTGCACCCGGGTGGAGTGTATGGGGGTCGTGGAATGAATTTTTGTGAGAATGTGATTTTGCCTTTTTTAAATATAGCGTTAGGTAGGTAGGTAGTATACCTTCTGGTGTGTGTGATAGATTGTAAGTAGGTAGGGCCGGGACAGGTTGTCACAGTCTCTTGGTCGGGTAGGCGCGATTTCGCGTGATCAACCTGTACCTGGAATATATTTGAAGAATTGACGATACAATCGATACGAACGGAGTATGTCGTTCGCCTTCGATACTATCTGTACAATTTTTCAAATTTTTGGCGACTTCATAAGTCGTCATACGCGATCGCGATGGCACGAAACGCACAAGTTCTGCTCGAGCACGGCACGTGTGCACGAACAACGACTTATAGAAAGTCCTTTTTCGTCCACGTGTCAATTAGAGTTTCGTGATTTTTCTTTTTTGTTGATTGTTTTCTTTTTGTTTTGCGAATTTGCAAGTCTCGAGCTTTAGATATAAGTTTCAGGTGGGTGGACCGCCCGAAGAAAGAAAAGGCTATATGCCGAAGCGCCCCGACAAACTGTCTTTCAAGAGGGGAACTACTAATGATTTTGCATCCTTTTGCAAAAAACGATGGGAAATCATTATCGTTACTACTTTGTCACTGTGCTTGCCTGTAGTTGTAGTTTTGTAATTTCAGAACAAGAGGGGGCCCGTGACCCCCATGATTTTGGGCAAATCGCGTTTTCAATTTAGTGTTGCGAATATTGACCACGGTTCAATTTAGTGTTGCGAATGAATATTGATCACGGTTCAATTTAATGTTGCGTATGCATGATTATCGCGATTTTCATTTAGTGTTGCGAACTTTAAATATCGCGTTTCTTTCTTGCATTGCTTTAAAATGGAATTTAACTTTTCAATGTTGATTGCTTTAAGATTTTTGAGAGTTTTGCTTTTTAATGTTGATTGCTTTAGTGTTGCGAGTAAAAAATTCACGGTTTGAGAATCCCCCTTTTTTGCATTTTAATTGCATGTCTGTTAAAGATAGCGTTGCGAATGATATTAGCGCGATTGTTTCCCAGTGTTGCGACTTATAAATACGCGATTGCTTTGCATTAGTTTATAGAGTTCCCGGCTAATTAGTGTTGCGGTAATGAATATTCGCGTTTTGCATTAGAGTTGCGATATATGATGAAATGCCCAAAAACGATCCAGTGGAGTTGCCATGGTCCATAAGGCAGCTATGGACCAGCTGCCATGATACAGCCTTGGATTGGCTGTACCCCTTTTTTAGATTAGTGTTGCGACTTACAAAATTCGGTAGATTTGAGTAGTGTTGCGTTACAGTTCGCGTTTTCTCTTTTTTCTTTTTTTCAGCTTAGTGTTGCGTATAATGGAGCAGCCTTCACGCGTACGCTTTTGTACATATTATATAATTAATAAAATTAGTGTTGCGAGTAAAAAATTCACGGTTTGAGAATCCCCCCTTTCTGCATTTTAATTGCATGTCTGTTAAAGATAGGGTTGCGATAGACATTAGCGCGATTGTTTCCCAGTGTTGCGACTTATAAATACGCGATTGCTTTGCATTAGTTTATAGAGTTTCCTGCTAATTAGTGTTGCGGTAATGAATATTCGCGTTTTGCATTAGAAATGCCCAAAAACGATCCAGTGGAGTTGCCATAGTCCATAAGGCAGCTATGGACCAGCTGCCGTGGTACAGCCTTGGATTGGCTGTACCCCTTTTTTAGATTAGTGTTGCGTCTTACAAAATTCGGTAGATTTTACTAGTGTTGCGTTACAGTTCGCGTTTTCTCTTTTTTTCTTTTTTTCAGCTTAGTGTTGCGTATAATGGAGCAGCCTTCACGCGTACGCTTTTGTACATATTATATAATTAATGAAATTAGTGTTGCGAAAGAATTCGCGATTGTTATTAAATTTTTTACTTTTTTGCATTTATTAAATTAGTGGAAGTAACTATGACTCACATTCGGTGGGAATCCATTGGATTCCGCGGCCTAAGACCGTGAACACCATCTCTGGGAGATATACCCATGCATTACTAGGCCTTTGCAGGCGCAGCTTTAGAATACGGAACATATGAAAATATGTTACCATATTCTAAACTGCAGTCCTTTTGTCTATACTATGGGCGTCCGTCAATCTGACACCGTTGGATGCAACGTGTTGGACGGGCGGGTAGCGCTCTTAGCGAAGGGGTGCACTCTGTCCTGGCGTTACGACGTCCAGGCGGGGTGGGTGGTATGTAGCGTCTGGCGTAAGTCTAGGGGGCGTGAGACCCTTCGTTGCCAGCCGATGTTTTGTCATAGTTCAGAATGTTTGCAATTTTAAAATTAGTGTTGCGTGTGATTTCGGTTTGTTTTATAGGGTTTGCTTAGGGATTGCTCTTATGGGCAGTCAAACTTTTCTTTTCAGGTTCCCCTGTACCCTCCCTCTCACTGCCATGCTCCCATTCTTTTTTCTTCCCATTTTTTAATTTTGAAAATTTTGAGCATTCGTTTGTTGGAAATACTGTTAATTAATATATGAATTTAATGTTTTCAGAATATTATTAGATACGATATAGTTTTAAATAGAACTTTATTCAAAGTTTTATTTAAAATGAAAGTTCATTTTATTTTGTGATGATTGGTGATAAATTATTTCAAGGAATATTTGTTCATTCGAGATAGCTTATTAAATTTTTATTTTACTTTATTTAAACAAAAGTAGTGGATAATTGTTGTTCGAGTTGTTCAGTTTTAATTTTTGATCGCGATGTTTCGTTTCAAGCTTACGGAGAAGCTAATTAAATTACTTTTATAAATTTTCTAATTCTTTTCCTGAAAAGCAAAGTCCACTCGTGATTTTCTTTTCAGTTTTTCCATTTACAATAAATTTGCATTGAAAGGTGTATTGAATAATATAATGCAATAAAGTCAAGTAGAGTCATGGTTGTATGTACGTATATTGCAGTAAGAGACAGTTGTTTCAATTAAAATATCGTGTACTGTTTGTTAACAAATGAACGAATATTAAATACTATAAAATGAAAAACAATTAATCATTTTAAATCAAATCACTTATTGAGTGACGATATATTTTTCTAAATCTTTTTTTTTCTTTATTTTGGTACTGAAATTGAATTGATGTTCCTTTTCATTGGAAATGAGTTATTAACAATGACTCTGATTTTTGTGAAATTTTGTGTGTACTAATGCATCTTCTTTCTAGCTATTAAACTTTTTGTCTTGATATGGATTCAATTAATAAGTTTCTGTTGCAGAGAAATATCTCAGGACGTATTTTGGTAATTAATCCTTTTTAGTTTGTTTCAAGAAGTATTCTGGTATTAAGGTAATACGAGTCTTAGTATGTTTGAAAATTGTATGTAATCCTTTTCGTATTAAGGTAATATTCGCCTTATTATTTTTGAAAATTGTATCTAATCTTTCGTAGTTTCTTTCAGGAAGTATTCTGGCGAGGACGTCAAAATCAACAAATTCATTGTATTTATTTATGTACAGCCCTTTAAATGTTGATATAAACACGTTGTAAGTTTATGGTTTTGTAGAATGATTATATCTTAATGACTTTATGGTCATTAAGTATAATCGTCAAACACTGCAGTGTTTAATTAGGAAGCGTTAGAATATAAGCGTTTTAATATAATTACGAGCGCTCGTCGTATAGAGAGATATTCTTAGTAATATAAGTATGTAGGACAAATATGCAATTGCATATTTATTAATTACAGATCTGTAATCAAAATCAAAATTAAAAAATATTGAGATAGGAATAAAAAGCAAAAATCTACGTAAATATATGTATAGATAAGTAGATAGGTAGGTAGTGAATAAAAATAATGCTCCTTTTGTTGTTCGTTTGCACAATCGTCAAAAACGTTTTGCAAATGTACATCAAGAGGATGATGTTATTGAATAAAAATTCAAATTTGCATAAATGGAGGGTGGATGGGATGAGGTAGGGCGGGTCTCCACACGCAGCAACCTCCCCGTGGTGAGACCTGGGAAATCGTTATTATTTGATGACTAATTAATAACTGTATCATTATTTCTATGGTATATTTATTAATTATGCAGCAAATAATACGAGCGAATTGGCTGCGAAAATGCTTTTTTTCTATTTAATCGCTGTTGTATTTTTTTTCAGGAACTATGTCTTTAAGACTCTGAAGTGTACCACATTGCAAATACAATTTTACGGAAGGAAAATTAATAATAATGAATGCATGGTCAGTATTGTTTAATTATGTACTTATACATATAGCATACATGTGTCATTTAGGTATTTGCGAAAGATAACGTAGTATAACATGCCGTTAGTTAGATGCAATAATTCAGGTGGCGCTTAAATCAGTTTCTGTTCAGCTTAATTTTCTATCAAACATGGCCTGTTTTACCGATGCGGAATTCGGAGTTTGGCTTCGACGCTCAGTGTTCCTCTGTGTGTTTCTTCTCAAGTTGTTGAGTAGTTTCCGCCATTTTTGTATAGATCGCGCTAGGGTCGGATTTCGGTTGCCAACAGGGGCGAAAGAGGGAAAGAGAGAGAAGTATACACATGCATTTCGTATACGACTTCTATGGTGTGTACAACGCATATACGCGGCAATTCGATTAAAATTTTCACGCGTTGACGAAACGTGAACGAATTTCCAAACGTTTCAATGCCTGATCGCTGGTGTGATATCGCCATTGAAATCATGTAAATTTTCGAATACTTAAAGCGTCACACTTAATTAGTATTATTAGCAAATACACAATTTGTCGATCTTCTTAATTACATTTCCGTATCATAAACAAAATTGATCACAGAAAATTTTATTGTGTTTCTTATTTACATAATTCTTTGTCGTTTAATTACATTAATCGTCAGAAGATTCTAAACGCTGCATTTCGTCGCTAATTGTGTTAAGTTATTTCTCAGTACTTCGTCCTAATGAATTTTCCTCGTTTGGAGTCTGAGTAGCTATGATTTTAATTACAAAGGCGGCGTTCCCTTTTTGCTCGTAATTTACTCGAACAACAGCGCGCACGGAAAATTATTACCATTATTTCTGGCTAGAAGGTGAAATTCCTTTTTCTTTTTAACTCCAACCTTATTTGTATGATTCCATATTCGCATAGGTATCTCGAAAGTTTTCTGATAATCCTGTTGTTACAGCGTTGAAAAGAAAACGCTTCGCGGTTTCAACGTAATTCAGCTCGCGGTAAACCGCGCAATTAACTTCCCTTTTGATTAAAATCTTGATTAAATTGTATCGTTCTCGTGTTTAACCTGCACGTAATTCGCGCTTCAACAGGAAGTGTTGTCAGATAAGTCATCTTAGAATTACGAATTACCTATTCATTTCGAAATGTTGCTAATTCTTTCCGTCTGTTTTGATAAATAAATTAACAATTATTTATTCTGTGACTAATCGTTTATTTTTCGGACAGGTTCGTGAGATGTCGAGAGTGGAGCTTCGAAGGATCGGCGATATAATCCTTTAAATAGTATTCCCCCCGCTAGGACACGGTGCAGGACGCGTTTCACGAAGCTTGTATCGCGTGTTGCCTAATGGTGGAAGGAAACGTTATCCAGAGGCGGGCAACGGACGGGCATTACCGTACGGTGTACCTTGGTAGGGCCGAGAGAAGTCAGCCTCCGGGATATGGACTCGTACACTCAGTCTTCGAACTGGTCTCGTACCGCGCTCTATACAGCGTGTCACACAGGCCCGCAAACAGTCGCGGCGAGCTTAGTTAACAACACCGCGTGGTGCTACGGTTCGCCTCGTTCGAACGTGGCCCTCCTTCTAGAACGCTTCGTATTTACACCGCGTTCACCAGTGACTCGATGCACGACTGACCGCGTGCCACTGCTTGGATTTCTTCTCTCCACCCTCGTCAATCGTGAGATTCTTGCATATTTCCTGATACGATACGGGATAGAACGAAAAGGATTCGGTTACCAGTGATCGGGAAAAGAACGGTGCCGTAGAACGTGCCGGATCGAGAAGTGGTTTTATCAAGAACCGAGTCTCTCATCGATCGAGGATGAAACGGAAGGAGCATTGAACGAAGTGGTTGCAGAATCGAGGAACACAGTTTCGACGATGGGAGTCCTGTCGATCGGATTGCTACTCCTCCCTCTGGTATCAGGTAAGACGATTCTTACACCCCCTTCGAGCTTTATATTCGATGACGATGCTGCGACTGCATTATTTGTCTAGTTGTTTACTTAAACTTTACAGGCCGGAGACGTACATGGTATGTCGGGAAAGAAAGAGAATTGTAATTTTCTCTCTCACGTTGAACGCTTTAGAAAACAGATTCTGGAATCACCCCAACTACCCTTAATTATATATAGTTCAATGATTTTCAATAATTCTAAGGGTGAATATCGTAGAAAAATTCTACAATCACGAATTCCAAGTATCTGGGATGGGGGTGGTTTCTTAAAGTTCATGCAAAGATGATTTATTTCTTATGATACTGGATTATGAATATGAACTCGATTATAATATGACGGAACAACGACAGGGTACTTGAATAGACTATTGGAATCAATGGAAAAGTAAATATTTAGAGAGGACCGAAGAAAAGATTCTTCTTGAGCGAGCCGAGCGACCTTTCTCGATTTCCGTGGAACATCTGGTGCGTCGTAAACGAACACACCCGCGTTGTTTAATTCTTCTCTTTCTTTCCTTGCATTTATCGATTCGTGTACCAACACCGTTGAATTGCCTGCATGATACTTCTGATTTTAATATTTTTAGAAAAATGAAGTAGACGGAGGGTGGTTGTGATATTAGAAATCCTTCCGAAATATTCGCAGGCCGTATTTTTGCATAAACTCATAATCGAGTAAGGATACGCGATACTTCTCGGCGTAGGCGCAGCTGGCAGTAACACTGACAGCTTTTATTTTTCTGTCAACAACGTAGCGAGTTTTATTACGCTAGGGGAACACGTAACGCGATTCCAGCTTCCGTTTCTTTCTCGTATTTTCACGGAAATTCTACCTACTGCAATTCCTCTCATTCCTTATTTGATTATTTCCCAGTTATAACAGATTTAAAGAAAATGGAATCTAGGGGGGTAACTTTATAGAAAACGACCTCATTAAACCATTGTAATGGAAATTTCTTTTTTCTCTTTTCATACTCTGGTTTCAATTAATTCTCAAAGTTTTGTTCATTTACTCTCGGGTATGATAATGAAGAAAATTATTCGGTTACTACATATCAAATTGCAAATTATGACCGTTCTCGGTCTCCTTTCACACGAATCATCGGTGGTTGCCGAAATAACCAAGTGTATTTTTCTCTCACTTCCGATCGAGGTAAACGTAGAAAAGCCGGAGTTTCTTGTTGAATCCAGGAAAGAATCTTGCTTCGATATCTCCACTTGCCTATTTTGTTACGAGCTTCAGCTGATAGGGTGGTACGTTTTGTACTTTCTCACCTCGAGCTCACGATCCTCTAACCGATAATCGAATTGCACTTAACAGTGAAAGACGACCAACTTTCCTTTCGTTTCTCACTTCACAGCTAATTACGAGGTAGTTCGACTGGTAATTAATTACAAACAGATCATATTTCAAACATAGCGTATAGCAATTTTAAAATCTTCAAATTTAACGGGAAGAGGTTTCTATCTAAAGCTTCCATTGCGCAATATTCGTTCGGTGGTTATCTCTGAAACTAGGTCTTCGTGGAGAAATGATCAAAAAAGAAGGAATTCCGGGAAACGGTGTAGGGCGATGCTTCTTTCGTAATTGTCGACAGACAGATCATTCGTTGTTGCCGCTTGGAAGTTTTCGTAACATCAGTGAAACCGGAAACAAGACGGTGACATATATCCAGGGTAGTTTGCGATACAGATACACGTGGAACTTATAAAAATAACAACTCTTTACCCTTCTGAAAAGTCTTCGTTTCCCTGTATCGTCTTATAAGATTTCGCTCTCGAATGGGTTAAATATGACGGGTTAAGGAGGTCGTTCCGTAGATTGAAGGTTTTCATTTGAAGTTTCATAACGATGCTGCGAAGACAAGTGGCTCTCAGATATGGAGGGTTTTTAATCACGAAGAAAGGAGAAAGATGAATTTACAAGGATGCTTCGCTACGCGAATCACCGTTGTAAATATTAATTGTGATCGCCGTTCGTTGTGTTGGAATACAAACGAAGCTAATGAAGTAATTAGCTTGTTGTTTCGTGATTTCGACAAGTTCCTTTTAATGAACGTAGCAGTTGTCGAGATTTTTAACAAAGTAGGAATTAAAAATAATTACAAGTTATAATTTGAACTTTGTAAATTCAAAATGGGGGCAAAATTAAGAAAATCTTGAAGAAAATTAAGGGAAAATATTTGGTAAAAGGCTCTTTTGTTTCAAATCTTATGTGGAAAAATGAAAATTGAAAATTGAAAATGAATTGTACAGGGTATCCACTAATGAACAAGTATTTAATGAAGTGACGATACTCGTATGCAAGAACAATTTGACCCCGGGGAAATATCGGTCATATCAGCTGTTATACTTTATAAATCGTAAATCTGATCGCAGGACAGGCCGTCTGGACTGCAGCCGAGTAGTTTCGGCTCGGTCGTCGTATCTATGCACATTGTTTTTACTGTTAGGCGGTAGCAGCTGCAGGCCAGAAGCTGCTGCAGAATCTTCTTCGCTTCGCCTCGAGATATCACGATGTCCCCTTTGCACTCGTTTCGCCGGCGCTCACTCGCGTTCGCCAGCTTTCTTTTGTGTTTTCTTCGCGGTTGCGTTCTAGTGGTTCGACCCGGACTAAATATAGAGTCGTCGCAAGGGTCTGTCCCGCTGACGGGTCAGAAGTAACTTGTTGCTATTAGCGGACGAGGGTCGAAAACGCAGGAGGAGCTCGCGAGGCAACCTTAACTTATCCAAACGTCACGAAATAAGAGGCGAGAGCAGAGAAACGGTGAAGATAACGGATCTCGTACAGGCTACCGTCACTTCGTTAAATCATCCATCGAATTAATAGAGGCATTTTTAACCCGGAACGAAACACGAACTGGCAATCAGTTTCTCCCTATTTCCTTTTACTTTCTCTTTTCAACGCAACCTCTTCGGGGCTGGAAAAAGATTAATCCCAAAGATAGTTTTATCATCATAGCAGCACTTTTATTATCGCAATGGTTATTTTTCCATTCGACTCACTGTTGATTAAAACTAGCGTTGATAAATTCTTTATCAGTGGTTTCGATGTAACTTACATTTTTTACCTTCGGCCATGATTTCTTCCATCCTTTCGCTGTTCCTTTTTACAGTCAGACCTGTAACATCCTCGCGGCGAATTTCTTTCACGATGCTCCGCGTCAATCGGACTTCATTTTATGGATCCTCTCTTTTACTATTCGATTCTGTCCCGTTTTGCTACCACAGCCGTCTGTTTGACTTCTTTGAACGCGTTGAAAGATTTTCCACTCCCCCGACCGAATCTCCTTATTCTGCATTTTTGCTTTCTTTTTTCCCTTTTGCCTCGACGAGGCGCGAACAGAACAAGAGAAAATAAAGCAGAGGGAAAAGAGGGTTGAAAAGCGGTTTCCTTTGAGGCGTTGCGAATCGTGCACCTATTCAAACTCTCTTCCACTCTCGTGCTGGGTATTAGATTTGTACATACTTCAATACGTTTGGTAATTTGAAAATATTTATTCGATGCAATTATTATTTGCAATTTTTCTATTATAATTTCGTTTAGCTGTGTACAGAAAGACAGCTTTTGGTGGACTCGAAACAACTTAACGACGCTTAATAACACGACTAATTTACACTGCCGTTAATTGCGTTAAGTTTCACCGGATTATTTTGATCCGTTTCGTATTAAAGATCGGGACATCGAGCGTGGACGGTTTAACGTTTGTAGGAACATGGTAAATTTAATCCTTAACTCTATAATTAGAGGGACCCATACACCAGTCATGGAGTCTCTTAAAGAGACCAGGGAGAAATAATGTGGGTGCGTTATTTGGGTGTCTAAACGTCTTGATCTTGGCAATTGAGCACATCAGCTTAAATTTCAGCATTCCTCCCTCTTTCTCGTTTATTATATTACTTATTTGCTCGTTTCAAAGTTATTCCAACTTTCGTTTAATTTAATATCAGCTACAAGTCGTGTGGTCTCTTGACGAAATTCATTGCCGTAGGAAAGACTTGCAAATTTAACAGTTTCTTCTGCTCTAACTCTAAAATTTATACAATCTTCAATGCACAAAAGTGTAGAAGGGCTATCTGTTTCTCGTTCTTCTTCGGTAGTGTTCCTACGGGAACTGGCTAACGCTTTCTTTTTCCAAAACGAGCGGCAAGTGTTGCGTGAAAGCACTCGACTCTGGACAAAAATGCCAGATACACACTATGATAAAGAAATAGTCTAGGAACCGACGGAGCGCGGACCGCGGCCCACGGAAACGGCATTCCTGTGGGGCGCGCGACACTTTACAGCTTTACGTCCAGACGATTATCGAGACTGTTTGGCCACGCGATCCAGATACTTATGTACCTTGCGAAAAATCATATCCGTTCACTCCATTTTTATTTCGACACTAGAGGAATCGTGAAGCGCGTCCTGAGTAAGGTGTACTTCGAAGAAGTGCCGTTTCTCGATACATCGTGTCACCATAAAGTTACGAATCTTTTTCTTTTTATTCTCGTTACACCACGAGAAAGTTCAGCAACGACAAGTTGTCGATAGAATGTAAACGAAAACTTTCTTCCTTTCGTTAACCGATTCGAAGGTAATTTTATTTAGGCCAACGTAAGAGACAAGGATATTTTCCCTGGTATGTAAAGTTTCAATTGCTCGCTCACGAACAAAGCTCCATGAATATTCAATGGTGTTTCGAACGTATCGGAAAGCGACTTTTAGCGTAACGATATTCACGTGTATATCGTAGTTTAAATATTACTTGGCACCGGGGAGGAAAGTTCCATCGAATCGATGTTTTTTTCAGAGAGTGCAAATATGCACACGAGGATTTTCAATCGTTTCGTTGTTTCACCAGCTATTTTAAAAATCTTGCTGTTTTTAATCTCTATTCGTTGCTAATCATTTGCAAAGGGAAATTACCGTGCACCTATTTACGATTGCTTGTCATCGATTGCCTATAATCAAACTGACGATCGGT